GTCATACAGATGTTGATGATACTTGGGAACTTTTAGTTGTTCATAAAAATCCAAAAAATCGAATCAAATCGATCAAAAAAATCGATACTTTTTAGGTTTAATTTGATTTTGGTTTTGAATTTTAAAAATTGATCAAATTTGGTTTAGTTTTAATTTTAATCAAAAAATAACCAAAAAAACCTGAACCAAATCGACTATAAAAGTAGTTATTTTAATTTTATTACTACACCTATATATATGTATATTTTTATATAAAGTTTCTAAAATTTTATGGTCCGTATTAGTCGTTTTTATTTTTAATTTAGTTCTTTGCTATTATAATAATAATCTAATTCTTTGCATTTACATTCTAGTTTTATTGGTAGTTTTATTTTGCTAAGTACAAGATTTTATTTCATGTTAAAAATAATTAATTTTTAATTGAGTACTTAAATTATTTATCACTATTTGATTGAACTATCATCAATATATCTTTGTAAAGGATAGATTTCTCAAAGAGCAATTAATTTGATAGTGTTACATTCAAAATGTAGTCGCCGGAATATGTGTTGGGTAGTGTATGTCTCATGTGTTAAGAAAAAAATCGATAAATAACAGAAAAAAATAAAAAACCGACCAAAAACAAATCGATAAAAAACTGACTTAATTGGTTTGGTTTGGTTCCAATATTTGAAGAACCGACTTACATGGTTTGGTTTCTTTTTAGGGAAAAACCGACTCAGACCGAACCATGAACACCCCTAAGTGCACATATGCATAATTTTACGGAAGTACTGCGCAGAGACGAATCCGAATTTTAATTTGATGGGTTTAACTTTGGATGGCAAAATAGTTAAAAATAGTTATTCACTCATATTATTCATTAAAAAATTGGTTGGATAATGAACTTTTTAGAAACGAGTCAAATATGAATAAGAATCATATTATCCACTTAGAAAATGGATTACCAATGTATAACTAATGGGTTTAACTTTTACAATTGTAAAGCTTCAAATTGGGGATTCCTCAAGTTTGGGAGAATATGAATTCTCCCAAGATCATATTCAATAAGTCATGGGTAATATATCATATTATCCGTCGGTTAACCCATTTTTTATCCAGATTAAATATGAGTCGGGTCGGATAATTTATTCATTTTTTTATTACTCATTTTTGACTCGTCCATATCCGACATGACCCGCACGTTTGCCACCCCTAGGTTTAATCATCAAAATTATGGACTCAAAATCTGATATTTGTTGAATGTTTATTGTTTTTCACATATATATTTGTATATCGTGTGAAAATACTGCATTCAATTTAACCTGTAGCTCCAAGGCTACATCCGCTACTGATACTATGGTGGCTTTACTTCAAGTTAATATTTATTTTGTATTAATTAAAATTGGTGTCAGCTTAGTATAGTTTTGCGGTTCTTAGTAAAGGGTGTCTATGCCCCTGTGCTCATCACTAATGCTCTTCTTTGTGTTACGTACCGGCACTTTCCAAGGCGCAATCCAAAGGAATAAACAAACATGGACAGTTAGGCAAACCAGAAAAGTTAAGAATTGGTAGTGAAAATAATTAAGCAAAATGAAGAAATCCAATATCTCGTTAAGGTTAAAGGCTTATGATAAAATTGAACCACAACAATATTTTCGTAGCATAATAAAGAAAGAATTAAGAAGACAGGAGCTGAGAGATGTGGGGTCTCAAAAGAACTCATGAGTTTTTGCTGAGACTCTGAGTTTCTGATGTCATCACACCAGCAGATCTACTCAACCAATCCAGATTTACAACATATTTTACCTTTGGTAACTATATTGGCCCCGGGCTTATTCACTCGTATAAGCTTATTAAAGAGTAAAGATTAAGCGCTTCCTGTTAGAATTTCTTTTTGGAAATTTTACTTTCTTTAGCAAACTACAATACCTTATTTATTATAAATTAAAATAATTTTAAAATATTATTACTTATAGTTATCTTTTCTATTTTATAGCAAAATAGGTATTTATTTATACCTACTACTAATGTATGAAATATGTCAATTATATTCTTTCTCTCTCTCTATCTCTTCCTTCTCTCTCTATCAGCAAGATTCTCAATCTTCTCTCTTCTCCATCAAATCAGCAGAATCGTCGGCATCATCATCGTGATCGTCGTAAGAATCATCGTTGGCGTCATCATCCATTATTGGCTCATCCCTTTAGGCGAACAGATCTTGCCATGGCTATGCCACAGAAGATTTGAGAGCCGGATTTTTGTTCGTCTCCATTTCTAGTTTTAATACAATGTATACAGTATTTTGATTGGCCGGAAAATACCATCTCCAACGAACTTTCTTCTCTTATTTGTTATTTTGGTCACATACAATGATACAAATACATTTTATTTTGTACAAATACATTATATTTTGTGCAAATATATTATATTTTTGTATAAATACATTAATTTTTTGCATATATTTATGTATTTTGAAGGTCTGTATTTTTTGAATGCAGCCGAATATCACTGTGTTTTGTAATTTTTTTGTTGTTTGAATACAATCGAATTGAATACGGTGAACTGAATATAATATATAATAGTGAATAATGAATATATGTGAATTGAATAGAACGATATACACCTAATTTCTTGATTACCTCACTGTATTTATAATACAATCACGTGAATATATGAAATACAACACAGTAGCAGCTAAATTAATGTAAAATTGATTTTGTTCAGTTAAATCAGAAGTGATACACGTTAATTGATCCCCTTTCCGTTATTAAACAGCTGGAATCCCCTATTTTTAAGGTAAATTTTATTACTGTATACATGAATAGACTAGCGGGAATACAATGAATATAGTCGCACAATTGGATTTCTCTATTTTAGGCGAATTTCGCTACTGTATTCATGAAAACAATAGCGCAAATACAACGAATACAGTCGCGTAGCAGCGAAATTTATGTAGAATTGATTTGTGCGTTAAATTAGGAGTGATACACACTAATTGATCCTCTTTTCATTATTAAATAGCTGGATTCCCCTATTTTTAGGCGAATTTCGCTACTATATTTATGAATACAGTCGCACATTTGGACTCCCTTATTTTTTAGGCGAATTTTGCTACTTTATTCATGAATACAGTAGCGTGAATACAACGAATACAGTCGCGTAACAACTAAATAGTAGCTATAGAAAGTTATTATGTATATGATAGCTATAAAAATTTAATAGCCACTAAACAATAGTGACTTCTGAAAATTGCTTTTTTTCTTTTATACACGGGGCACAAATCGATACCTCTCGTTAAATATGATGAAATTCATGGTTTAATACAATTGATACTTCAAAGTATTCCTTTTGCTTTCAATTTTAAATACTCATTTTCCGGTTCAAGTAAATATTGTTTAAAGCCTACTTAATTATATTTCAAGACTTCAAGTATAGAACCTATGACATTATGGGCCCGTTTGCAATAAATAAATAAATAATTCGAAATCGGTGTTTGGTCAGAAAAAATTTAAATTTCACTTGAAGTTGAATTTCAGATTTTTTTGAAAATTTAAAAAGCTCCAAAAACTGTTTTTCAATTTTTTATTTATTTTAAATCACCCATAAAAATTCAAAAACAGCTCCAAATTGTATTCATGTCCAAACACAACTTTAGTTTTTAAATATCATTTTCACTTGAATTTTTTTTCACGCTTTTCCGAAATTTCACAATTTTTATATCCAAGCGCCTACTATATCTTCTTGTATTCTATGTATAATAATTGAAATTTCTATTCTTTTGCAGTAACTTAACATTTCTAACGAATCATATTATTTACATTGTACCCCACGGAATGGGGTCATATTATATAAATCCATAGATGTACAAGTGTAATGTTTTAGATTTACTGATAGCCAATAGAAGTATTCGATCGTTTCATTTTTCCAATATTAAAATGCAAAAAATGGGTAACGGATTTGATCTACTCTGTCTAGTCCTCATGTGCAACTAGGTAGATCGTCGTCTGCGACCAATTTCTATTATTTTAAGAGATACTGTTCCCTCCGTTCCATTTAGTTGTCAGGATAAGATTTTACCCACTCCTTAAAAAAGTATTAGTAATAAGATGAGTAATTTGACTAATTTATCATTTTTTCTAATTTTTTGATTTTTGTCTATTTATATACCTCTTAGTTCTAGAACAATTTTAATACTAAGGTTAGAGTTGAAAAAAAGAAGTTAATTATCTACTAGTATTAATTTTCTGAATTAATAAGTACTATTTGGGAATAAGTATTTTTAATATACTACCTGACATCTAAATAGATTCTCTTTTTTTTTTTAATTTCATTTTAACCGAGAGAATCTTAAGTTGAAAGAGAAGTCCTTTCCCTAGTTGATACCTGGGTAGCTGGTATCTCAATAATTGCATAAAAAATAGAAACTGCTGACATGGCCTCCTAATAATTATGTGAGTATTTAATTAACCCATTGCTCCCAATCAAGAGATTGTGAGTTCGAGTCACTCCAAGAGCAATGTGGGGAGTTCTTGGAGGGAGGGAGCCGAAGGTCTATCGCAAACAAACTATCCACCCCAGAATAGGGGTAAGGTCTGTGTACATACTACCCTCCCCAAATCCCATTAGTGAGATTATACTGAGTTGTTGTTGTTGCTGTATATCAATAGAGTAAGAGAATTCTTAAATTAACACGTTTGTTTATATTACTAGGTATGTTATTGTTGTTATGTCTGACTACAATAATCGTACATAATAATTAAGATTAATAAGTTAAAATAAAATATAATACAAATATGTTACGACATATTTAAGTACATTGATAGTCCAAAAGTTTTTTACACTATTGCTAACCATATTGACATGTTAATTTATAGTATTTTTCGTATAGTTTTTAAATATTTCAACTTGGAAGATTAGTTTAATTAACTCAAAAAAAAAAAAAAATATGACCGAAATTGAGAGGGAGTGAATAAGCAACTGAACATAAATTCAACGGTCCATATTCTTTCCTAGCTCTTCGGCTCTTAGTTTATATCTTCCCACATTTCCCCCACTCTCACTTCTCCCCTTCCTTCTTCTCTCTAAAAACCTCTCTTTTCAACCATGACCAAACTCTAGCAAAGCTGCAAAACAAAACCTTATCAAGAAACAAGAGAGGAGATCGAGAACAAAGGGAAGCATAAAATATATAGGAAAACCAGAAAAAAATGTTGCTAGGAAAGAGGGCAAGGCCACCAATCAAGAGAACAACAAGCATGAAAGAATTCACCTTAGACATCAATATAAACGATCCTTCTGTAACCGTTATAAATTATCAACCCTTTGATCCTCTCAACCCTTACAACTTCACTGGTCCCATCCCACCGGCATCCAACGGCCTAGATCAACGCTTAATCTTGACTCGCAGAAGATCAGCTGATAATTTCGTTGAAACTGCACATTTCCTTAGAGCTTGCTTCCTCTGTAAACGCCAGTTAATCCCTGGTCGTGACATCTACATGTACAGGTATACAGATGTATACGATTTAACTTATATACTCTGACATGTAAGTTGTATACTAATTTCATTTGTTATTGCCCATCGATCACATATAGTTATTTTCTAGTCGATTTGATAATAAAAATAATTTATAGGGGTTCAATTCTTTACACTAGTTTTTTTTTGTTTTTTTTCCCAGAGGAGATAGTGCTTTTTGCAGCCTAGACTGTAGAGAAAAGCAGATGAAACAAGACGAAAGAAAAGAGAAATTGCCGAAGGTTGCAACAAGGAAAAAAGTTACTAACTCAGCCGCCATAGCCACCGTGGGAAGTGGAACAGGATCCGACGCTCCACCTCAGGCCAGACCGTAAGCCGGCCGCCGTATAGATTCTTACTAGCTATAATCACGTTGTTGAAATTCGATAATGAACAAATATTCCAGCTGATGTTTAAGTACCCACTCTTACACATACTTATCAAACTATATATGTATATAGATGTGGGACTAAGATGATGACGATGAATGTATAAATATTTCTCTTTGGTTTTGTTTGTGCTGTAATCATGGGTTAATGGATCGAAAAAATGAAGTATCAGTTTTTACTACTCCAAGTTTTTGTCTTTTAAGTTTTGGAATCTTTGGTCTTTTTTTCCTTCCATTTTTGGTACTTAGAACACCATCCATCTCAAACTATATTAGACTGCGAGTTCTAAAAATAATTGTCTAAAATTATTCGTTATTTTAGAAATTGGAGAGGTGATCAATTATTTTTTTCTCATTTTACCCTTAATAGTAGTTGTTCTTGAAGATGGAATGACCGTGGGTTAAATATAAGAGAAATCGTATCTTAAAATATAAATAAGAGTAAAATAGTAAAAAAAAAAAAAAAAAAAAAAAAAACTCTTAATTAAGATTTTTTTTTAATGAATGTGTAAAAAAGAAGTACATAAATAATTTGAGACCAGGGAGTAGATCAATAAATGATGTGACGGTTGTCTCACATAAAACTTTTCTCTATCTTTTTCTTTTTCCATTTTACTCGGTAGAAACATGATCCAAATTTTGGTTATAATACTTTTTTTTAGTTTATAATACTTCAGTAAGGTTTTAATAAGAGATTCCTGGTCACGTGTGAAGAATACTAGTTCCTCTTATTCCTCTTATTGTGGTACACCCGGAATAAGATCCAACCTTTGCTAGTTCGGTAAATAAAATATTTATTTATTTATTTTATTACTGCCACCAAAATTGGATTTAGGTTATTGTTCTTATTTTTCCTTATAATTGATGGGCGAAGCATTATAACGTTCCATTCAAATACAAATAGTGACTTTCGTTTTGGTAAGCTCTCACTCACAGTTTTTTTGGGTATATTAGGGATTTTACGGTCTCTGCTCCAACTAGTTTTGACAATATAGTTATTTTAAGGACTGAAATTCTTTGAAAATAACTTTAGCTTTCTAAATCGATAGTTGGTTGGTTATCTCTATTTGCTCCGTATTGCTACTGTCGGTGGCGGGGACGTCGTTATTATTATTAGTACGACTGTCCATAATGAAAACATATCACCTGTTTCTTGAAAAAAAAATTACTCTCCAATCCGTTTCAATTTAGATGAAGTAATTTGACTCGAAAAAAATTTAAGAAAAAAAAACTTTTGTAACTTGTGGTCTTAAAAGTTTAAGGGGTAAAGCTTTGTGGAGCCATGACATTTGTGTGATTATAAAAATTTCTCATTAAGGGTAACATTTGTAAAACAAAGACTTTAAAGTTAAATTATTTTTAAATTTAAAAATATGTTATTTATTTTGAAACAGACTAAAAAAAAAAGTACCTCATTTAATTTGAACCATAAAGAATATTGTCTTCTGATATCTTAGAAAATTAACAGTGCTGAACTAAAGATAAATAAAAGGTAATTAATCTTGGGGTTGGGGGATGGGGGAGGGGGGAGGGAGATGTTCACAGACTAGCCAATTGGAGAAAGAATTTTACAAGTTGGATTGATGTTATTAATAGTGGTGGGATGCTTCCTCTAAGATTTACTTTGTTCTGTGTTCGATTCTCTCCCTATTCTTGAGAACATAAAACATTTCGTCTTTAGATTCTTAATTAAATGCAAGGGTTCTTATTTCTGTGTATAGAGTGTTGTGCATGTCATGTTCCTTTCCCATAGACATAAAGTTCAACTAAGGTGGTTTTATAGGAGGAGATTCTTTATTCGAATTTGATCCTATTAATTAAAGGTGGAAGGATCCAACATATCTTATACGTATTTCCTTTTGACGATATCCTCATAAGGCTGTCCAACATATGAGTAGTTTCATTTTCTGTTATTTAATTTTTTTCATTCCCCTTCGGAAGAAAGTCATGATCTTTAACCTATACACGAAATAAAAGACAAAAAAATTGCTAAGTTCGCTTCTTGTCAAAACATAGGCAAATGTAATCCCTATGTTCGCTTTAACTACTTTGAAACACTTTAAGAAATAATAAATGAAGTACAAAATTATCATGATACCCATATTAATTAATGTATTTTTTAATAGATTTGAAAAAATAATTTGAAATGAGTAATTAATATTGTGAGTATAACAAGAAAAAAATTGTGTTTCCTTGATATGATAAAAGTGAAAATCTATTTTTAGAAAATATTGGACAAGTAAAAGTGAACAGAGAGAGTAGTTCACTAGACAAAGCTGGTTCTTAAAATAAACTTTTCGTCATTGTCATTATATTTCATACGTATCTGATCAACAATAATAATATAACACTGATAATAATAGTAACCAAATGTGGCATGAGGTAATCATCCAACCATTTATGTAATATCTAAGGTTTCACTACTAAAAGTATGCTAAATGGCCTTACAAGTTATGGTCAAACCTCCAAGAAGTTGGCACTAAAAAGTGTACTAACACCAATTTTTAGTGAGGAAAACATTTATTTACACCCGAGCCATGTGTTTTTCATATGCATAATTATCATTTATATATGATAAAGTGATGTATATTTGTACTTTAATTTTTAACTATTAGATTAAATTATTTAATTTTGTGTAAAAATTAGATGCGGATAAATATCTTTTTGGATGATGGTGTATAAAAAAAAAATCTCCGTTTTAGCAACGTAACATCTCGGAAATGAAGTAAAATGTTAGTTTACTTCCAAGACGGGGGATTTGGAATGTCTCTGCTAGATGCACCTCTTGCTTTTAGCTGTAGACGAGGAAACAAATAAGCAAAATAAAGTTTTAAATTTGGTTAAAGAAAGGATATTTTGATTTTTACCTTCACATAAATCTAAGTACTTTACGTTAAAGTAGCTTTATGCTTAGTAAACTCTCAAACTTAAATGATGATACAAACTAAAGTAAAGAAAATTAAAACTGAATTCAGCTTGCAACCAACTTGTGCAAGTGGTCATGTGTCTACTTCCAGTGTTCAATTAATAAATTAAACCCCATGTTGATGCATACTTTATAAGTCATTAATTTGTACAACTGCTACATTAATTAAAAGATAGTAGAGTCAGGTGTGTCGTGTCATAGACTTTTAAAGATTCTTATTGGTGTCTTCGGGTTAAGATCGAATTAAAGTAATTTCATCTTTGATCTTGATTTGTGGAAGAATTTGATCATTCAATCAAAAAATTTGAGATAATGAGTCCGCAACTTTTTGCATAATCCATGTGAATCTAGATTAGATTTCCAGAAGAAAAAAGGAAACTTTTAATTAAACAAATGCTCAAATAAACGAAAACGAACACAGAGAAAATCGTAAAGTCCAATTCATCCATATTCACAAAACCAATCTTTGGGTGTATTTGGTAAAATCGGAAAATATTTTTCAATTTTTCCATGTTTGATTGGTTTAAATATTTTAAAAAATATTTTCCTTATGAACTCAGTTTTCTTCAATTGGAGGAAAATGTTTTTCTTATCGAGAGAAGGGAAAATATTTTTCAAAACTCTTTCTCAACCTTCCCCACCCTATTCCCACCCTCACCAACG